ATTAAAGTGTTTGAACAATCGTTTACAAGAAAAATTTCTGAAGAATATAAGGAATTTGATATTATTTTTTAACAATTAAAAAAGTCGAAAAATAATTGGAAATATTTACTCCACTACAAGGATTTTCATGCAAACATTCGATGTAGAAAATTGTTCAAAAAATTCATTAATTGGTATTTTGAAAATTGAATAAGTAATAAAATAACAACTAACTTTGTGGTGTTAAAGAAATAGCGAAGTTTTGAAAATTTGTTTCAAGACTATAAAGAGTATAGCGTGTTGGACTGATTTTAACAAATCAAACTTGCCTAACCTTTTACTTTCTTATGATTGGCATTATTTTTTGGTAGTTACGAAGGTGCTTAACCTTTTAATGTCACAGATATAATTTTATTCCTCTAGAAATAAAAGTTTACTATTATTTAACCTAAAATTGTTTTAGCTGAATCGTCGATAAAAAAGTTTCATTTAATTAAAAAAAAATATCATGGTGTCTGCCATTTTTTAGCATTTCTAATTTACTTTGTTTGAATATTCATTTTTTCTTACATTAAGAATGTACGGCTAAATTAACTACTTCGTGATTGCAACCACCGATTAGAGACTCTTAAAATCTACATGCTGCTTCCATCGGACTTGAATATGGACTATTAACATAGTTTTTAATTTTAACTAGAATTCTAATTTCAGAATCATTTAATTTTTAAACTTCTACAAATGCTCGTGTAAAGTTTTTATGTATGTAGTCATACAGGAATTTAGTGCTTTGGATAGATGCAGAATATTTAACATTCATGTGATATCTATACATCAAAAAAAAATTTGATGTATGATACAATTATGAAACTATTAACCGAATGATTATCTTCATTTTTAGATTTGTTATAATGATTATCTAAAATATCTTCTTATATGACTTCAGGCATAGAAGAAAAAGCTGAGATCTGGTTTGTTGAGTCTGTATTATAGTCTGTACAGGTAATATTGTAAAAAGGTTATTTGTTTATTACTTTCCAAATAATTTTTCGGATTGTTCCTGTCACATTCTAAGTTTCCTAATGGAAGCAATATTAGAATAACGATGAGATCAACAAATGTAGACGATTTATTTATGTATATTTGTTTATAATAATTTTTATGTAAATTTTTCGGGTATCAGCAAAAATAAAAACTTTCTGGTGAAACATCATCTGAATCTTGAATAGTGCTATACTCTGCTGTTAGTCGTTTATTATGTCTACGTTTTTTAAATTCTTTTTAAGCAAATAAATAATCTTGTAGTTTCGAACTTGTTCTATAAATGAAATTATACGTAAGTGTCGTTAATTTTTAGTAATGGAAATTTTTCAACTTTTAATAAACTTAAAACCATGAATCATTCGTAAGGGGTTGGCTCGCAAAGTTCTACTAGTATATACGTACACTAGTAAGGCTTCATCGCTCTGTGAACTCCATGCGCCAACTTCTCTGGCAAACTTATAACAATGACTTTTAATTTAGTACATAAGAAATTAATTTTTATGTTAATAGCTGTGGTAATAAAATTTTCAAATATATTATTAAGGCTGAATTTATTAATAATATAAGTAGATAAATTATTACAACAATGATTAGTGTTTTGCACGCCAACTTCTGATATGCATTTCTCATGAATTTTAAGTTAACTATTTTTTGAATCTTGATCGACAATTTTCATTTTTTTTTTGTCATTTTTATTGCAAAAATAATCATTGAAAATGCGATATTTCTACCGTATAACCCGTTGATCCAAAAACACTCTTTAACGGTCAAGACAGTTGGGTCATCACAAATACAGAAACAGCCTTCCTCCAAACACAAAAAGTATGTTTTTGATTAATTCTATCGTATTTTTGGGAATTTATTCAATTAGAAATTGATCGTAAGTATAAAATACGCATAAGGTTCACATTAGCTTTTTAACAAGTCTGCGCTTGGTGCAAAAATAAAAATCGTAAGTTAAGCAACCTTATTATTTTTATACATCTTACGAATATACAAACCAAAGTCATGAAAACCGTTGTAATTGCTAACCACGAAAACTACTTAATCAATCGGGCTTAAGCTTTGCATACTGAATTTCAACACATCCTAAATATTTTAGAATAGTTTTTGTCTTGAAAAAATTCATAACAAAAGCAAAAAATAAGCTCCGAAATTCGCAAAAATACGCTAGCTTTTAACTTTAGTTCAGTCGAATCTACTAGGTGGCGTGAAGTAAAATCGAAGCTACCTGCATCAGAACTAAGTAAGTCTAGTTATGATAGAAACAAGAACAGTCTTTACCACTAGTCAAGCAACTTCAGTCAAATTCCATCCAATCCCGAACTACTAAAAGTAATGAGCGCCACGAATAAAAGGCATGCTGAGCGCCAACGTCTTCAGCGTAATACCAGGAGACGTCTAGCCAGAGCACAGTCTGCTTTAACACTTCAGGATTTTATGGCCATTCTTCCAACTGACATGGTGCTACCAGAGCAGATTTTGCTACAACAGCAAGCAAGGAAAAACAATGTGGAGGAGTTTGGGACGCCACATGAACTGAAAATTTCATCGGCTTTTTACTCAGAGTTTCGTCCCAACGGCATACCCACAGAGGATGTATTTTTCAGGCCCAATTCCCCAACCAACGGTGAACGGTTGGTTATCCGGGGAATAGCTCGAAGATATTTTTTGGCCAGCAGTGTACCTCCCTGCACTACGGTCTCCGTATGCATAGACTCTGAGGGTAAGAGTCAAGCTACCCACAGCTGGCTCTCCATAATAAAGAACAATAATAATAGTAATAATAATAGTAGACAATAATGACAAAAATAATAGTACTTCACCTGTCATGGATTAACATAATTTAATACAGGTAGCTATGACTGTTTACAATATTGCAAAAGCAATACGGAATCTTAGAAGAATTTTAGTCACCATGTTTCTCGCTACTAGTCATTGGAGAAAGAGTTGTGGTACCCTGAAGAATCAGAAATTTCGTTACCTGTATTAGAGGTAGGAGTAAGGACTCTCTCTCTCTCTCTCTCTCTGGACATCTCCAAGTTAGAAAAAGGGAAAGGAATAACCTCCCATTTTGCTTTACTATTAAAAAACTATTAACAATTAACTAGGCTACAAATAAGACTATTGCTGTATGTTTACGAAATTATTTAT